CTTGGTGTGGGCCTCTTTGCATCCATCTTGTGTGGGACTCTGTACTTCCTGGATTTGCATGTCTATTTCCTTCACCAAACTAGGGAAGTTTTCTTTCAGTATTTTTTTCAACTAGATTTCTAATTTCTTGCTCTTTCTCTTCTCCTTCTAGCACACCTATAATTTAAATCTTGGACAGATTGATGTTGTCCTAGAGGCTGTTTATGCTATCCTTGTTTTTTATGGATTCTGTTTTCTTCTTGTTCTGATTGGTTGTTCTTTGCTTCATATTCCAAATCATTGGTTTGATTCCCAGCTTCATCCACTCTACTATTGTTTCCCAGTAAATTATTCTTTATTCCAATTAGTGTATCCTTCATTTCTGATTGGAACTTTTTTATGCTGTTGAGGTCCATACTAAATTCCTTGAGCATCCTTATAACCAGTGTTTTGAACTCTGAACATGATAGATTGCTTATCTCCATTTTATCTAGCTCTTTTTCTGGAGATTTGATGAGTTCTTTCATTTGGGCCATGTTTCTTTGTCTCCTCATTTTGGCAGCCTCCCTGTGTTTGTTTCTATGTATTAGATAGAGCTGCTAGGATTCCCTGTCTTGGTAGTGTGACCTAATGTAGTAGGTGTCCTGTAGAGTCCAGTGGCACAGCCTCCCCTATTACCTAAGCTGGGTACTCAAGGTGTGCCCTTAAGGTGGGCTGGGAACACCCTCCTCTTGTACTTGAGCTTCAATTATTGTTGGCAGGTCAGTGGGAGGGATTTACCCAGGTCAGTCAGCTGCAAGGATTGGCTGTGACACCTAACCACCAACCTCTGCCTTTTGTGTAGGATTAGCTATGTTTGGTCAGGGTGGTGTTGCTGTGACATGGTCTGTGGCTGTGCATTGGGTGCTCAATCTTTGGGATTTCCCGGGTAGTGCAGGCCAAGGTCAGCCCCTACCTATGTTTCACTCAGGGCCACCCTGTCTGAGCTATAAAGCAATCTGAGATGGCTGCTACTTGTGTTGGGCTTGGTGATTCCCAGGTGAAGCCAAGCTGTGAATCTAGGCTGGTTGTTGCTGGTGCCAGGCCTGTGGCCTCTTAACAAAATGTACAGGGACTGGGGGCTCACTGAGGCAGGCTGTTGCTTATTTGAGAGAATTTAGTAAGTTGAGAAGCATGAGCCAGGACAAGCCATTCAGATGGAAAAGCAGCTTGGGTGGGCCCATAAATTGGATGGGACAGAGTCTCAGGGGATCTCTAGGGCAGGACAAACTGTGATAGCTGGGTTGAGAGTCTCACATGTGGCACTAGCCTGCCCCTGCCGGCTCTGTGGTTCTGTGGGGGGAGGGTTCAGAAAAGGGACAATGGCCTCTGCTCATATTGATGCCAGACACTTCAGTCCCTCCCAGTATGTCACTGGTGCCTTTCAAGCTGCTCTCCCAGTGCTGGAGCTCAGAGGGAGTGAGTCTGAGTAAATCTGTGCGTGGGTTCTTTAAGGGGCACTGCTTGGGATTCCAGGAGTTTCTTCCACCCACTCAATCCCCACTGATTTTTGCAGCCAGAAGTTATGTGGACTTATCTTCCTGGCATTGGAACCCTGAACTGGGTGGTCTGGTGTGGGGGCGAGGACTCTTCGCTCCTGAGATATCCCTCCTCCATTTTATTTGGTTATAAGTGTTTTGTATTTTCCCTGATAATATTTTCTGTGCCATTTAGGTTACATGACCGTATGTTTTCTAATTTTCAAAAGTGCAAGGATATTTAGTTATCTTTAAAAAAAATCAACTTGTAATTTGTTTGCAATCTTCTGTTTTCTTACCCAAATTTTACCTGTTTATTCTGACCTCCCCTGTAATATAGTTGTTTAAATGCTGTCTTCATTCAGTTTGAAGCCCTGGCTAGAAGTCTCTCAGTTCCTCTTTTTGGGCAGGTAGGTCCATATGACAATCATTTTCCATAATAGCTTCTCATTTTCTGGGGTCACTGTGCACCAGCCTCTCTGCTCCCGGCCCACAGAGTGATTGAAGTTAGCCAATTGACAGAGAACCCATGAAAACTAACACCACCTGCTTGCCATACATTATTGTCCCCTATGGTGCCAGTTCGCTGTGTAACCCAGTGCTACCCAGTTCTTGGGTATCCACCCCCGACCCCTTCCCCCTGTGGCCCTGCCTGGCAGCCTTCTCCCATTTTAAGCTCTAAGTGACAAGTCTGACACCATGTCTTTGATGCTTTGCCATCACTGTTTTACAGCTCAGTCCCTGAGCCCCTCCTGAAGGCCTTGGGAAGGGTATGGCTTCCAATGTCAGATACTGTGCTGGTCCCTGTGGATGGCTTAGGTCCTGTGTGGGCTGGGTGAAGTACTTGGATGTCTTCGGTGCTGAAATAAGGCTTGTTAACGCCAGGGGGCGCTGTAGTCTCATGTTAGTGCTTTCTTTCGGGAATGCACTGTGCTGCGTACCACCTCGGTTTGGAGGAGGGTTGCCCTGGGGTAATTTTCATGACCTGCTCCTGTTTAGTTTTCAGAAATTCAGCCCAGGGGAAGACGGTGTCTGTAAAAAAGTGAGGGGTGTAGGTCCTGTGTCTCTGGCCGTGTTGTCTTGAGCACACCACCTCCCCTCTCTAGGTTCTTGTTCCCCATCTATGAAATAGGCATTACAGAAAACTCGATCCTTTTTTTAGTGGGGGAGGGGGGGGTGCGGCAGGGTTGGTTAGTTTTGAAACCCTTTCTGGAGGGAGAACCTATTTAGTGTTTTTTTTCAGGACAATAACGTTAAATCTGAACGCTGACATCTGCAACTTGTTGCAAACCTGAAACCTTCTTTTAATATGAACACTGACTCAGAAATCAAACGTGGCCCACTGAGTCTAAGTCCAAATATGTCTTGGATTCCTACTTATGGCAGAGGGCAGCATGCCAGGCTCTGCTATTTCAGGGGAGAACGTCATTCCTGTGCATTCTATCCGTCCCACTAATTTTCACTGCTGCTGTCCCTCTTGTGCACCGCTGCACCAGGCACTGTGCTAAGCGCTCCACAAACATTAGCTCATCAATCTCTCCTCAATCCTCATGCATCATCACCGTTACAGGTGAGAACATTGAAGTTCCATAGCGATAAAGTGGTGGCGCTGAGCCCCAAACCCAGAGTGAGCAGACCTCCAAGCAAGTGCTCTCTACCAACATGGACACTGGCGCTGGTGGTTTCTCTCACTCCTGACCGGTGATGCCCATCACGCGGCCAGATCCAGTCCTGGGAGCATTCACTGGCTTTTAAGGGATCAACTCAGGACCTACACTGACCAATGATCACTTATGGTGATTTGGACCTCTGGATATCTATCCCATGTTCTAGAACCTTAACAACCCCCATCCTGCCAGCCAGGGGCCAGGGACACTTGGGCGGCGTGCTCAGGTGGGAGTGGCCATGGCCTTGCGGGGGTGCGTGCTTTCACAGCGTCCGCACGGTGCCCCTCAGCTCTCTAATTTGTCCCTTAAGGTCTACAATTCCATGGTAGAAACTTCCTCAGCCTCCACATTTTAAAAAATGTGGTTATTTTATAAATTGCTCTGAGTAGTGGGTATAGATTCACCGGGACATTTTCATTCAATGCCGGCCTTCCTGAGTTCACAATGATATTAGGATTGGAAAGCCACCGAGAAGCATTACAGTAAGGAACCACATTTAACCTGAACCCAAGCCCAGCATTGGCCAAACTTATTTGACCGCAGATCTCTGTTTGTTTTGTTTTTGTGGTTTTATTGTTTTGTTTTGTTTTGTTTTTGTGGTTTTTTTGTTTTGTTTTGTTTTTCAGGCTATCTGTGAATCTGGATGCATAGTTCACACCTGGTCTGGGGAACATTGGTGTCGTTTAGGGTTTCTCGCCCTCAGCCCTGCTGACATTCTGGGGTGGATAACTATTGCGGGGGGGCTCTCCTCGCCTTGTAGGGTTTTAACAGCATTCCTGGCAAAAATTTGTTCCCAGGGGTGAAAAAAACTTTTTCTATGTGTAAAGTACAAATACGCGTATGTTACATAAACAGATATACAGTTTGTGGTATTAAAAGTTCATGGGGAGGTGATTCGGAAAAAACAACCAGAAAGACTCCTTGTGGGGTGATAATGAAAAAAGTTTGATCAACACTGCTTTAGGTCAATCTTTTAGTTTCTGTGCCGGCAGCTTCCTCAAGAAAAATGACATGAGTGGCTCTTTCAAGCTGAACTGCAGAACTAAGCAACTCTATTCACGTGGAGGGACAGCGTTTGAAAGCCCACAGAAGCTGAGGACAGATACACAAAAGACAGGACTGGTGTCAGCCCCTTGGCTACAACCGCGGAGCAAACCCAAAGGGACTCTGCCAAGATCACCCTCAGTAACATCATCATGATTTCTAAGCACAAGGGTCTTGGGGGACGGGTCTTCCCATTGCCTTTTAAAGGGGCTTGAAACTATATTGTTATGTCTCGTGCACAAGATTGAGGATTTCTCCACTGTTGACTGTGGCTGACTAAGGTCTTCCAGGTCACTCCCAGACATGTGTATTTGTACACATTTCTCTTCTCTACCTGACCACCCTTTTTCTTGAGTATGTCTGGCTTCTCATTCTGACCTCTTCAGATGCCACTTGCTCAGAGAATATCACGCCTCTCGATTGCTTGCCACTGTGCATCCACGACGGGGAAATAACAAGCAGCCCCCTGATTCAGAATATCCAGAATAGAAAGATCACTTCTGCTGCAGACAGCCAGCTAAAAGGACAGTTTTAAAATTAGAAATACAGCAAATCAAGGATTTTTTACAGGTTTCTCTTTTTAATAATTTACTTCATTTTTCTCCTTAATCTAGCTTTCAGTTTTGGGAAATGAGTGACTAAGAGTCACTAAGGGTCATTAAGAGTCATTTTCTCTTTCTTCTATAAAAAAAAAAACCACTTGAACTCAGCAGAGATGGGCGAGGAACAGAGTCGGAGCTCACAGGAAGACGTGCCCTTCAAAGGCACCTGTCTTTCTTGATTCTGCTTCTTGAGCAAGTCTGGCACTGCCTCACAGACCTTCCTCAGAGCCACTGTCAGACAAGCAGGGTAAGTGCAGAGGGATGGGGCCGTTCCCGGGCTGTGGGTTGATTTCTGCACAGGTGTGAAGCCTTTGGAAGCACTGAAGCTGGCCAGCCACTCCCCCAGTCCTATCACTTAGGCATCTTGGTCAGTCCAGTGCTCACATTTGGCTCCTATTTTTGGAGGTCATACACGATCTTTACCTGGACCCACACCCTCCAAGTCCTCATCTGATGGCACTCATTCATGCACACACCTGGCCTAAGTCCACGTGCTCAGAACATGCAGACAATTTTCATTGAACATATACACTTTTCTGCCTCTCACTTCTAGGAAGACTCCTAGGTTAAGACCGTACAAATAAGGATGGCAGAATAATTCAAAACACTTGCCGGCCGTGTTTACTTTAGTGTGTTCTGATAATTTCCTAACTCCTCAGCCTCTTTTGTTTCTTTAATTTTCACTGGCAATATGGTGCAGAAAGACTACAATTGTTCTTTGTTTAAATAGAATTGCAATTTTTTAACGCATTTTTGGGGGGACCCTGAGATGCATCAGTCTTCAGCATCTGTTTGCTGGAGTGAACCAAAACCTCTCACTTGAGAAACAGAGAGTTTAGGTGTTTGGGTGTGTGCTGGTGAGGGTGGGAGGTAAGGGAGTAGCTGTGAATTACTCAGCACTGTGAAGACGGTTTTAATAAGGAGCCTCAGGACACCATTAAGAAGAAAGCGAGAAGAATAAAGTCAATAATATAGTAACTATGTATGGGGCCAGGCGGATAGTTGAGATACTTGTGTGTGTGGGGGGGCTACTCTGTAAAGTGCTTGATTGTCTAATCACTATGCTGTACCTCTGAAACTGATACAGAATAATACTGGATGCACATTGTAATGTAAAAGAAAGGAAGAAAGAGGAATTGCCTCTGAGTCAGAAAGCTCATTCCTAAATTGCTCTGAGTCACACGTAGACTTGTGTGGAACTTTAAGGTTTTAACCTCGTCATCTGCTGATGTGGATAGGAGATGAGAGTGCTGTGACCTTGTCTGTAACTTGAAGTAGGTTTTCACCTCATCTGCCGATTTAGATAGGAAAGGAGGGTGGTGGAGGATGCAGAGATTTTATTTCTGGCTCTGATGTGCCTTTTCTAGATCTGTCATACTAATTCCCACTCGGATAGGATTCAGTGCATAGGATTGATTTTCATGTATGGTTTCGATGAAAAGACCGAACATTTCCCTCAGTTTACCCAGCTGAGTACGTGCTGTAACCTTTGGAAGGAAGGGCCCTGAGAACAGGTCTGCTGCATTAGTGTCAGACTGGCCGGGGAGAGGCTGGCCCGGAGGGCCGGCGCGTTCCCACCTGAGACGACGCTCCGGCGCGAACACGAATCTGGGCGGTGGGGCATGGGAACCCACTTGCGCCAACGTCCAAGAGCTGGTTGTGAAATATTCAGGAATTTCACCAGGCAGTTGGTAGCTTGATCTTGTCCGTGGTGGGTGTGTTTACACCGTGGAAACCAGCAAAAACCATAAATCAGAGTCCTTCCATTCTCAACACCCCCCGACCTGCTTTGCTAGTGCGTCCTTGGGACTCAGAGTCTGAAGAGCAAGCTCTGTGTATAGCTGTGTGGCCCTCGAAAGTAACTTAACTTCTCTGAATCGTCCATGAGTTGTCTGCACCATGGCTCGGTATGCTTGGTTGGCTTGGAGAAGCAGTTTGCGTTGGGAGGGTGGGATGCTGGGGACGGGAGTGCGGGAGCGGGAGTGAATGGCAATACCAGTGAACGTGCTTTGTGCAAAGCATGTAGGAGGAATAAGAATTTTCATATAAAGGCAAATGACCAACCTGGTTTCCTTCTAGCTTAATGATCACCTAAGTAATTTTTGGAGTTACAATCTAAAGGGGTATTACAGGCAGGTGTTAAAATACTTTCTTTCTGTTTTTATGTGGGAAAGGCCCTCAGTATAGTGCTGTTGGGGATGTCAGCTAGCCTTGAACTTCCTGCAAGTGACTGCAGTAACCCAGGCTACCTTTCAGAAACACAGTCCCTCTTACAGAGGAGGGAACCGGAGCTCTCAGCAGAGGGGCAAGAACAGTGGCAGAGCTGGAATTTGGGACCTGTCTGACTCCAAAGGGCAGGACTCTTTTTTAAAAACTGTTTTAATTTTTTTTTTTATTGATTTAAAAGAGAGAGGGTGCAGGGGAGAGAGAGGCATTGATGTGAGAGAGAAACATCTCTCGGCTGATTGGTTGCCTCCCATATGCACCCCAACCAGGGAGTGAACCTGCAACCTAGGTGTGTACCCTGACCGGAAATCGAACTTCCAGCCTTCTGGTGTACGGGCCGATGCTCCAACCAACGGAGCCATGCTGGACAGGGTCAGACTTATTTCATTTGGCTGCACTGGCCTGTGAGGACCTGAGCCCTTCAACTTGGGAAGGTTGGAAAGGATGGAGAATGATCTGGGGCAAAATACGAAGCAGCTGTTCTCTGCACTCAGCACTGTTCTGATCTGCTTTGTTCTTACAGGAATCTTGTTTGCCCTCCGCCTCCTTAGCTTCTTCTGGTTGGACTCAGACCCGCCCTGGGGGAGCCTGGAGATTTGAAAATGAACACCACGGATGTAGCAGACACTACCATGGATGACAGCATCTATAACAATTACTATCTCTATGTAAATATCCCCGAGCCTTGCACCAAAAAAGGCATCAAAGCCTTTGGGGGGATCTTCCTGCCCCCGCTCTACTCCTTGGTCTTTCTGTTTGGTCTGCTGGGAAACTCCATGGTGGTGCTGGTCCTGTTCAAGTACAAGCGGCTCAGGTCCATGACAGACGTGTACCTGCTCAACCTGGCCATCTCGGACCTGCTCTTCGTGCTCTGCCTCCCTTTCTGGGGCTACTATGCGGCGGACCAGTGGGTTTTTGGACTCAGTCTCTGCAAGATTATTTCCTGGATGTACCTGGTGGGCTTCTACAGTGGCATATTCTTCATCATGCTCATGAGCATAGACAGATACCTGGCCATTGTGCACGCGGTGTTTTCCCTGAGGGCCAGGACCGTGACTTATGGGGTCATCACCAGCTTGGTCACGTGGGCAGTGGCTGTATTTGTCTCCCTGCCAGGGCTTTTATTCAGCACTTGTTACACAGAGGAGGGGCGTACCTACTGCAAAACCAAGTACACGCGCAACGCCACTCGGTGGAAGGTTCTGAGCTCCCTGGAGATCAACATTCTAGGGCTGGTGATCCCCTTAGGGATCATGCTTTTTTGCTACTCCATGATCATCAGGACCCTGCAGCACTGTAAAAACGAGAAGAAGAACAAGGCGGTGAAGATGATCTTTGCTGTGGTGGTCCTCTTCCTGGGGTTCTGGACACCGTACAACGTGGTGCTCTTCCTGGAGACTCTGGTGGACCTAGAGGTCATCCAGGACTGCACCTTTGAAAGACACCTGGACTATGCCCTTCAGGCCACAGAGACCCTGGCTTTTGTCCACTGCTGCCTTAACCCAGTCATCTACTTTTTCCTGGGGGAGAAATTTCGCAAGTACATCATCCAGCTCTTCAAAATGTGCGGGGGCTCTTCCGTGCTCTGCCAGTACTGTAGGCTCCTCCAGATCTACTTCCCCGACCCCTCCAGCTCATCTTACTCACAGTCCACGGTGGATCACGACCTCCACGATGCTCTGTAAAAAACGGGAATGCCAAAAACGGAGTCAGTAAGCTTCCCAAATGAAGAGCTTACTTAAAATTGTGTTATAGTAAGAGTTCCCTGAGCCAGGAAGCGTCAGGGAGAAGACGTACACCCACTGCAGTAAGCCAGAGGGGCTTCTCACCCTGCAATCATTCTGCTTTCCTCTGCCGCGCACAGGTTCACTGCAGCGAGAGCTCACCTGGGCCGACGTGTCCTTCCCCGCCCCAGGCTGGCCGCTGTGATAAGGAAACCCGAGGGGAACTCTGAGCAGCTTTTCAAAGACGTTAGGAATCATTCTGGAAGGGGAAGACCATTTGCTTCTAATCGGACAGATGGGGTTCTCCTGAGGAAGTAGAAGAGAATTGGTGGAATAAATTGCTACTTCCTGCTGGAAAAATGGGCTCTTTAATTTCTAGCTTTCACGGAACAGTATAGAAAGCTTTGACATGCTGTCCCCGGGTTTTTTCTAATACTATATCTGCAGCCAGGTGTATGCAGAAATGAATGGTGAAGTCATGAACTTAGATCTGATTTTTTGAATGTAAGTGATTATTCGTTAATGAAAGCCAAACTTTGCATGCTGATTCCAAATATGAGGATATGGAGACATTAGTATGCTCTGACTCCCAAACACAAAATTCAAGGCATTAAAAAAATCCAAACATGCTTGTGGATATCCGAATACTTTGTTTTAATTATAAGAGATGAATATTGAAAATTTTTAAAAAATCACATAGTCCCTGATACATTTATTTGCAGTCTTTTACCTATTGACAAAGTAACAATAACAAAGACACCTAGAGTGTGACAATGCCCCCCTTTGTTCCTTTGAAGCGCCCGCCAGCAAGGGAGGTGAGAATAATCAGCGAAAACGTTATTGTTGACGTGACATAAAAATGACTCAAAATGATGAAATTGTGAAGTGTCATCCTCTCTTTTAAAACATTGGCCCCGGTCTTTAACTTTGGCGTGACTCAAAAATCCAGTCATTTTTACTCATGTAATTAATCATTTTACACCATAAAGATCGTTCTTGCAGCCTTAATTCATCAGTTAGGTAAAGGCTTGAACAAAGTCTGGGGCTCAGTTGTGAAACTGGGACACTTATCACCGCTCCAAAAACAAAAGCCTATCTTGCAAAAAAAGCCTACCTTGCCATTGACTGAGCAACCATTCAAACTGCTTCTGTAAATTTACACATTAGTGCATGCTCTACATGGAAAAAGAATGCATTTCCAAAAAATTTCTTTTCAGAAAAGTGATTTGAAAAGGGTACGTTGATGTTGCCTTCATAGGAAAAATATAAAATAAATGTGTGTATAGTCCCATGGAGCCTTTTTTCCTGATCGTGTTTGTTTCTGATCCGAGGGGCATGAGCGTCCAAGCAGCCGAGGCCCCCCCGGGCTGGCCTCCCCCACATCAGCTACAAGATGAAGATGCTGTGCCTGTGCCCAAGGGGAGGAGTCGGGGGTTTCGTCCTTCAGATCTCCACCTGGGGTGGGAGATAGAGTTGCTGTCTTGTTCCAGTGCACTTGGGGATCAGAGTCGGTGAGAAGTGGGGCTGGGGGTCAGGTTTCCAGGCAGAGTTTCCTTAGAAAACCCCTATGTGGTCTATGCTGGGGCCTGCCAGATTCCCACTTTGCATTCCCTTGTGAGCCAGAGCACGTTTCTTTCCTCTCTTAGCCTCTGTTTTCTCTGATCTACAGAGCAGACTATGTTGCAGAATGATTGAAAAAAAGAAATGAGGAGGTTAATGTGAATCATCTACGTTCCTGGGTCGCAGACGAAGGCGGTTTTGGACTGGCTCCACTAGCGGCTGCCTCCTCTTTCCTGGTAGAGCGTGTGATTTTATTCATTTCATCATGGGGAGACAGACAAGGACTGGCCAAAGGGGTCACTGTCCCTTCCTTCCCCATCACGCACAATGCTGACTAAGCACAGGTGAGGTGCTAACCACACAGCTTCCAACCCTCCACTGGCGGTGGGGTCATCCATCACCTCAAGTCACTTGGGGCTTCTGTTTTTCCAAAGCTGGGGGATAGTTCCTCAGGATGGGACTGTGGAACATCTAGTGACACCCAAACGCGACCCTCTCAGAACACCGAAAAAAAAAAAAGGTCCCTCCCAGTCAGTAACAGAAACATAGAAATGCAAGCCAGCTTGATTTCTACACACAGGTGGGTTAAACTATGAATTCTTCAGACATGAGACCCATTCCTTTGTTGTTGCAACTTGCCTAGCTTCTGGAAGACTGGGTAGAATCTGTTTAAGAACAATAGAGCCCTGGCTGGTGTAGCTCAGTGGATTGAGCATGGGCTGCGAACCAAAGCATCGCAGGTTCGATTCCTAGTCGGGGCACATGCCTGGGTTGCAGGTCATAGCCCCCAGCAACCGCACATTGATGTTTCTCTCTCTCTCTTTCTCCCTCCCTTCCCTCTCTAAAAATAAATAAATAAAACCTTTAAAGAAATTTAAAGAAAAGAACAATAGGGACAGGTGTGCTTCCGGGCTGATGTAAATGTTTTGGGACTGGACAGAGGTGGTGGCTGCACGACACGGCGAATGTGCTAAATGCCACTGAATTGTACATTTCCAAATGACTGGTTTTGTGTTATGTGCATTTTACCTTAATGACACCACCAGTAACAACAATAGGAACACTAGGAAGTAGCCTTAGCAGTCCCTGCCCATAGTAAGCACTCAGATGATACAGAAAAAATAAATATAATTTTTTTCCCAGGAGAGGGAGAAGTAAGTACAGGGTGATGCCAAAGGGTCTTCAGACCTTTAGGGAAATTTTTCCTAAGGAACTCTTAGAGCAATCTGGAACATTGGATATAATAAATTCCTATTTGTTGAATGTCTATTTGGTGCCAAACAGAATTCTGGGTTATGGAGAGAATAATAGTATAAAAGAGTAAGTTCTGCACTCATTGAATTCACAATCAGATAAAGGAGAACTCAAACACAAGATCAACTAGAGTAGTAAACGCGGCAGATACGATCAGAGAATTAGGAACCACATGCTCTGGGACCCCAGAGGACGGAGACATTGATTCAGTCTTGAGTTTTTATAACACAATTCGCCTTTGAAGTAGGCCTTGTAAAAGGAGCTTGGTTTTGATGAATGGGAGGGGGAAAGGACACTCTAGACTGATGAAATAGCACATGAACACGTAGGGTGGTGTTACGAGCATATTGTGTGTTCAGGGAGTGGTTGGTAGGTTTTCGTACAGTGACTATGTGGGCGGTGGGGAAGAGTAGCAAAGAAGGCAAAGATGAGAGAGACCACAGAGGCTGCAGTTCTGAGCTACTGAGCCAGCTGCCACCCGCTACGGGGCTAGAGGAGACCATTAGTGAACTTTGATGGGCGCTGTGCATACACTCCTGTCCAGGACCGAAGCACTAGTGCCACAGCCACTGGGAGCATTGACAGGTGACAGCTCTCGGCTAGTTCCCTTTCAGGATTGTCCTCTCCAGGCACAGTTCTCATCCAGTGACTAGATAAGTGACCGGAAACAAAACACCTTCTTGCCTTAATTTGGGACAACTCCGAAGAGCCACTTCAACTCCAGAGCTCCCCATAAGATTAGCGGAGACCTCTGTTGTAACTGCCTTGCCCTTCACTTTTGCCTGTTGGTCTAGTCGCACTTCCTTCATGCTGTTACAGGGACTGCTCCCAAGAGGGCTCCCCGTCAAATCTGGATGCTAATCTCTGAGACCCAGAGTCTGTTTCCAGGAACCCCAGTTGAAAATGGGAGTTTTGGATCACAGAGGGGACAAGTGAGCACCTAATATAAATGGAAATACACCTCAGGTGTGGGAAAATGAAGGGGCATCATCTTTGCATCCGGAATGTTCTTCCCTCATTGCCCTCTGACCATCAACCCCAACTTGACTCTTGGTTCCTATGCTTCCGTTAGTCAGTCTTACGTCTGCACCCACAATTTGCCCGCCTCACACCCCGAGGCATCTTCCTTACACCACTCCCTTCCTGTCTTGTCTACCTGCGGCCGCGCCTCCGTCATCTGACACCCTATATCCTTTACCGGTCAGTGACTTCCTTGGTTTAAACGAACTAGACACAGCTCCAGCCATTTGTGTGGTCACAGTGCTATACCCCTTAAAAGTTTGCAGTGGGGAAAGCCGAATTCCTCCAGGACACATGGAAGTAAAAAGATGGCTGGCTGGCTGGCTCTCTGGCTCATGGGCTCTCTAGCTCCTAGGCAGGCTCTTTTGGGCTATCTGGCTCTCCTTCCTCGAGGACGCCTGGATGATGGTGCTGCAGCTGCCTGCATTTCCCACCAGATGGTATTTTGGATGGGAAGGAACTCCAGGTGCAGCCTGTGACTGGGCTGGCCTGGCAGAGGGGGGCAGGGTCATTCTTTGGGTGTTCCAGAGGGGCCGAGCTCTGAGGCAGAAGCCTGCCATTCTTCCAAAGTTGTGTAGGTTTTGTATCTTATGTTTTGGTTTGTAAACTAACCCTACAGAAATAAAATAACTAAAAAGAGGGGGGAAATGCTAGGAGAACCCAGGTGTTAGGGTGTAGCCTTAATTGATAGGCTGAAGTGATTGAAGCTGTAACTAATGGGTTGAAGATGTTAGCCTTAATTGACAAGCTGTAAGTGGCTAATACATGTGGAAGCTGTTCCTCCAAAACTGTGAAGCTTTTGAATAAAGACTCCTTTCCTTTATCACCAAAAAAAAAATGTTTACAATGGCTCCAAAGTTCCATTTCAGAAAATCAGAAGCTCACTAAGTGCTTTCAAAAATTGAAACTCTTCTTAAAGTAGATAAATTTGGTTTTATTCCCCCAAAGAGGTCCAGGGGAAACCATATTCTAAGCATGAATTAGACTAACTCCACCGACAATAACCACTAGCTAGCTGCCTAGCAAAATGCCTTGTGCAAAGCAGTTCTTTAGTTTTTTTTTACTGAATGAGTGAATTTCCTTATCTCTTAATCAAGTTCTCCGCACGTTGATTCAAGTTTCTATTTCACCACGAAAACTTCACCAGTCTTCTCTCCAAAATCCCCATTATGTTTCTAATAAAACTTTATATGACACACTTCAAAGATTGATTGAATTGCCCCCCTAGTTCCAGAAATTAGTAGGCGGTCTTTGGGTCAAAAATTACTTCATGAAGACTTTTGGTATGAACACAGCTGCAGAAGTCTGCATTTTCGCCTTCTCTGGGAAACTGTCAAATAACAGCAAGAAGAATGAGTTTAAAACCCCACAAATACCATCCTTGGTTAAACCTAGAAAGAGATATACCTTTCAGAGCCCAATATATATGTAGTTAGTTCTACTAAAAAGCAGGTAAAGGCTGTGGGCAAAGATGACAAGAGGTGGGGAGAGGGTGCGGCAGTGACAGACTTCAGGAAGCACTACCAAGATCCATTTCCTGACGCGTGGGGGACACCACGAGGTGGAGGAGCTGGGACGAACAGGGTCAGAAGCCTTCCTAATCTCGCTTTTGTTGAGATTTGCCAAATTTCAGATTTGCAGGAGTCAAGTCTGTCTCTGCGGCGAAAGAGCCGCTGGGGTTGTGAAACAGCTAATCTGGAAGACTACAGGAGCCCCCACCCCAAACACAAGCATGGTCAATAATTCAGAGATAGACTCTAAGAAAATTATCAGGACAGGAGTACTACGGACGTTTAGGAATGTAATATTTTGTTATCATGATCAAATAGACATCTGTCCTGGCTTCAATGCTTAATGAGGCACTGCAGACACATCCCAGCAAAAAATGAAACAAGGCAAGAAGGTCTGCTCTGACCACGCCCACCTTAACACCGCACTGCACGGATCAGCTCCGTGCTGTCAGAGGAATCAATCAGAGGCATACAAATTGGACTAGAGGGACGTTTTACAACATGCTGACCCAGCAGTCCTCAAAACCGTGAGCATCATCACAGACAAGGAAACTCTGAGAAATTGTCACAGCCCAGAGGAGCCCAAGAGACAATTAAATGTAACTAGTTCTGGAAGAGAAAAAGGACACTAGCTGAAGATGAGGAAATCTGAATAAAGTAAGCCCATTGGTTAACAATAATGTGTCAATATTGGTTCATTAAGTACATGAAAAATGCTCCATGCTAGTGTAATACGTTAGTAATAGGGAAAATTGGATGTGGGGGTAAAGGGGAACTCGCTGTACTTCACGGTTTTCTGTAAGCCTAAAAGTGTTATAAAATATACAGTTTATTTAAACAAAAGATAAGGTATCTCTAGTTGCAGTGACAGTGTTGAATAACTGGAAAACTCAAGTTATTATTATAAGCAATAAGGTAATTAAGCAAGTTAATAGGGCA